CCCCCCCCCCCCTTTCTTTTTTGGTCCCACACCCAGACTTCTACTTTATCAAATGGCCCCAGAACTCATGCCAGTTTGCTTCTAAGTAGCAAGTTTGGGGAACAGTCAGCCTGCCTAGGAAGAAACAAAGTGTCAGATGTTGCCCTTCTCTTTTCTACTTTTGGGGACTAGAATTCTCACACAACTGGTCCTGACCACACTTTGTGCAGGCAGCCAAATGTTCCTGAGATGATGGATTTGAATGTACTCAGAAGTCTTCACAGAAAGCCAGCAGTCTCCCAAGACCAACATAGGGTATCATTGTTAACATATACACCCCCTACTCACATTTCAATGCCATTAATCACTTGTTAGGAGAAGCATATTACATCCAGAATCCCTGATTTACATATTTGTCGGCTCCCTCTACTCTGAGACTTGCTACCTAGGTCACAGAAAACCCTACTTCACTACAACTAGATGAGGAGCAAAAGTATCTCAGTCTCTTGGAGTAGCACGTTTGCTCAGGTTCTTTATGTTGGAAGCCTCTCTAATACTAACATCCTGTGATGTTAGTATTGTCCCTTGCACTACATACTCTATGACCACAGAAGAGCATCAATAAAGACCAGCCCCTGCTCCTTCAATGTTAATGTCACTTCCTCTTTAAAGTATATATATAAATGTAGTACCCTCTAGTTTAAATCCAGTGACTGTCTGTACCTGCCTGAATAGTACAATCATGGGAGTCAGCTCTTTCCTTAGCATGGGACAACCATGTCTGTCAGTGTGACTTTCTTTAACACTTACTAGAAAATCTGATCTTAACATTTGAATTCTAAATACATAAAATGTGATCGCCTGCAATTTTGTAGGCAGTGAAGTCGTGGCTGCTATTTATAAATGGAACTTCTATCAAAATAAGTAACTGTTTATAAAATTCAGTTGTTGTAGGATTTTACAAGGAAAAGTCACCTTGGTTGAATGTTTCTCATTAAACTTTGCAGAAGTGATTCATACTCAGCACTGTTTTTAATCAATTTTTATATAAGGACAATGTTTGCAAGGAAGCAAGAGTTTGTTAATAACTTTTATATGACTAAAATAAAATAAATTTAGAGGTATCTATAATCATATTAAGTTGAGGAAGAAAAAAAATCACTGAATTTTTGTAATACAGCAGGTCCTCAACATCGTTTCATTCTGAGTAGTATTGTTATAACATTGATGAGATGCCATAGGAACTTAACTCTTGTTTATATCACCTATTCTAATATTCTAATATTAGATTCTTGTTATAGTAATGACTCTAAAATGAATGATATGCTGTGTTCATTGCCTTGGGTTGATAGCTAGAGGAATTGTTTTGGACAACACCAAAGGTGTGAACTTATGTCTTAGTTTTATTTTCAGTCTTGCTAAATAAAATGAATCTTTGTATTTACTTTTTTATTAAAGTGAAATTTAGCAATAACTAATGTACTTACTATATATTAATCCAAAAAAACATGTTTTATAAATGCTCTATTGCAATTTCTATGGGTCTATCTTTCAAACTGATAAGTTTATCACTTCTAGAGAGTAAATAGTGGAAGTAAGATCATCATAAATACTGACTTATCTATGTTTGAGGATAAAATCTACAGATGCTCAACTTAAATATCATTAAGTTGAAAATATATTTATACACCTAACCTACTGATCATTATAGCTTAGCATAGCCTACCTTAAACATGCTCAGAACCACTGACAGCCTCCAGTTGGGCAAAGTCATCTAACACAAAACCTATTTTATAAAAGTATTGAATATCTTGTGAAATTTATTATGTGTATCACTTTGGCACCATCATCAAGTAAAAAAATAAGTAGGGGACCATCTGTATTTTGGGTAGCAACTATTCTGTGTCTATGAACTTAACCACTACTATTCCTTTCATTCCATTCAGTAGGAATCTAGCCACTGTTTTTATTGTTTTCTTATAAAAGTGGTAATAGCCAATCATTTTGTGTTTGTATTTTCATTCCTTTTTATTATTACTAGTGACCCAGTGCACGGATTCGTGCACATTGAAAGAAAATTAGAAGGTGGCCAGTGGGGCTGGACTGGGCAAGAAGGGCCGGACACGCCCTCCGTGGCCGGCCACATCTGGAGTGGCGCCTTGGCTTGAAGGGCATCTGCAGAGTGAGCAGGGTCCCTCCAGCAGGGGGGGTCCGTTGGCCTGGCCTGTGGGAATCAGGCCCAAACTGGCTCTCCAACATCCCCCTAGGGGTCCTGGAGTGCAAGAGAGCACTCTGCAAAGTTGCTGTTGTACAGGGTGTGGAACACAAATACAAGTGTACAGTAAGCCAGATTCGGAGACGACAGTGCCCCAGCAACAACATAACCCATGGCCGAAGTAGAATCGTGCGGCCCTGCAAGGAATCGGGTTCTCTCCTCTCTGGTTTTGGGGTGCGTCACCCAAGAACCACCACTGCCAAGTCACCACAGCTTGGCAGCTCCTGTGTTGAGCATCTGCCCTCTGGTGGTCAGTGCATGTCATAGCTACCAGTCGGATGGACACTTAGCATATTAGCCTTTTATATATATAATTGATTTTGAGAGAGAGAAAACATCAATGTGAAAGAGAAACTGATCAGCTGCTTCCCACACCCCAACCTGGGATGGAACCTGCAACCTGGGTATGTGCCTGACTAGGAATCAAACCCACCACCTTTTGGTGTACCAGATGACGCTCCAAGCAACTGAACCACACTGGCCAGGGTAAGGATCTTCATTCCTTTCATTTCTCCTTTTATGTAAGCAGGTGATTAAATAATCAAACTAAATCTAGTTTCAAAGAGCCCTGAGGGCTTAATGACTCCCTTTGTAACTGAAAAATTATTCTTGTTATAGTAATTCCTCTATAAATAAATGATATGCTGGATTAATTGCCTTGGATTAACAGCTGGAGGGATTGTTTTGGACAACACCAAAGATGTGAACTTATATCTTAGTTTTATTTTTAGGCTTGCTAAATAAAATGAGTATTTGTATTTACTTTTTTATTAAAGAGAAATTCAGCAATAGCTAATATTAGGATAGATGATATAAAGAAATAAAATATCCCTGCCTAGTGAGTTGAGCACAAGATTGTCCTAAAAAGATATTCATATGAATATATATCCCCATTATTAATGTAGAAACAATAAACAACTAATTTGTGAAC